TAAAATTGACATGCCATGAGGTGGAGTGTTTATCGACCGATATTGTTTAGTACATTTGTGTACTCCAGTATTAGTGCATATGCTTTATGTGGCAATTTGACTACATATTGTGCACACTCATTGACTTGATTATGAATAAGTACATACTATGAACTGAAAATATATGACAGGTACATATTATATGTTTGCAATGAAAGCATGTGTCCTACTGAATACTAGGTTTGACATAATATGCCTTATTTATGAAATGTTGATGTTACATGTTATATGTTGATAGAAATGACTTTAATAAGTCTGTTTTACATGTTCATATATATTTTATATGATATTTGTGGTACTTTGATTATTATGATGTTTCATATTTTGATACGTCTTACTTTATTTTATATAGTTATGAAATTGTCTCACTAAGTGTATACTTAGCGTGTGATGATTTTCACACTAGGTAAAAGAAAGCAAATGGAGTAAGGGGCTGAACTTGGCATCAATCATCGAAGACTACTTATCGGAATCTGTAATGACATCCTACCATTAATATGATTTTCTAGTTGGCATAGATAAATGTAATAAGAGTCTAATATTTTAATATGGTTACATTTGGAAAGATCAGAAAAAACTCTGATATGTCTACACTACTTGAGTGATTTTGTCATAGAGTATATTATGGATTGTAGTAAGTAATATATATATATATATATATTTCAATGTATATTATAGTATAATTATATTTTTTTTATGAGCATAAAGATAAATTTCTATTTAGTCAGATGTTATGAAGTTTCATTTATAAGAAACAATATTGAAATGTTATGTTGCTACCTGAAATCGTATATGATAAATACTTTTAAATATTACTTTTTGATTTTACGCGAATAAGTAATTTTGATGAAGTGTGCTAAATAGTATTAATCTAAAGAAACAAAATTTTGATCGATTTTCTAATATGGAATATGTTATACATGTCGTGACATCTCTTACTCGTGTTCGGGGTATGTCAGTCACTCTTGTTCGGGGTCGAATACGTGAAAAGGTGCTACAAATGTAATATTTAGGTATCCAACCTTACCTATCTCAAAGGAAAGTTTTTCACTTAAGTCGTGATTCGATCCAAATTTCCAAAGACTGTTTCGATAGCTAATAGAACAATTTTCAAAGTTTCTTGCCTAGTAAATTATTTTAAGTCCTCTGGACAATTTGTAAATTTTCCGAGCATGATGTTAAGCAATTCGAGTGATTTGTAAGCAAGATGATAAGTTCTTTGGATCATCTATAAGATCCCTAGCCATGATGTTTTATCAAGAAAGAATGACTAGTCACCCTCAAAAGAGCGGTGTCATCTGCAATTTGAACTATTCGAAGAGAGAAGGCAATCATCCAAACGCACTCAGACGTCCTTCAAAGAATTAAAGTAGATTAACTAAATAATAATCGTATATAAAATTAAAATCCTGAAATTAATTGAATTCCAACCAGAATGTATCCCTCGGTATTCTTATGCATACAAGTAATAGCTCACAAACCGCAGGGGCTTCTCTCGAGCTACCATTTCGATGACACAGAAAACAAAAAGCTCCTTTCATGTCAACTCACGAGTCAAGTTTAGTCTAGGATTTCCACAATCACGTCTCATCCATAACTCACTTCCCTCACATCTAATGCAATGCCGAACGCATTTCAAATTAAAAGAACAACAATAATAATCATGACCATAAAAGGTACTGAATTTTCAAAATTGTCACCTCATCACCATATATTACTTCTTCCACTTCTACCATTACTTGTTTCAATCCAGTTTACTAGGCCTAGGAACTAGGACTCGGCTAAACTCATTTTTCATTAGAAATTTCCAAAAACATGTTCTAACCATAATAATTTTTTAATGAACAAGAACAACGGAAAACCCTGTCTAAGTGCAAACAGAAAGAAAGGCTCGTGCATTAAGTGCAGGCAGGCTATTTATTTTAGCTATTCTCAGCTCAACTACTGTAGTTAGCGCTTCTTCTTGCTTGCTTTTGCAGCGCTGGATTTTTATGGGGTCGCAATCAGGTAGATGAACAAAACCACAATTGAGATCACAGAAATTTGAGATCCATAATTAGCCAGCAACCTCTGTAGACAGGGAGGGTTTTTATATTAATTTCAAGGTATAGATCATAGGTAGTAGCTTATGCATTCCATAAATCAAACTATGAGAGGCAAAGGTTAAGAACTAGATGGTCATATTATTTACTCCTGAAACAAATATGGCAATGCCTGCAAGCAATTCCCATCCATTCAAATTTTAGAAGCATATGATTATTTCAACAAATATAACAGGAAACATTCATACCTTAGCCTTCAATATTTAGTCACCACCAAAGCGCGTTCCAAAAGTAACAAACACAAAAACAAAGATTTAGTAACATTGAAAAAAGGGAAAAAAGATATTGAATAGCTATGGTTCATTGATTACTGCTATTCCAAACAAAACTTACCCACTCAAACTTCTTCTCCGGAGGTCTTTCAGCAAGAACATCCAACGGCAAAATTGCAGTTGAATAAGCCTCCTAAAAACACAACAAACTAGAGCATTAGAACTTATCTCGACAATTTCTTTTCTTTTCCCTTACATTTTAAGAACAGATTCTGCAGTTATCTCAAACCTGTAAAGCAGCTTTTGTGGGAATGCGGAAAGTAATTACTGCTGGGGCACCATAGAACCTTCCTTGCTTTTTGGCCTCTAATTCAAATGAATGAGATAGAAGAGCTCCACTGCAGAGTAAAGTTCAGCGTTTTAATTGATTTAATCCTGGAAGAACATATTCAATAGAATTAAACAAAAGAAAAACTCACGCGTCAAGTTTCTCTATCAAACATGTCTTGGGGCCAGCTATCATCGATCACACTCACATCATATGCTGTCCTGAATCATTGGGTTTCCCCCCCCCCCCAAAGATTGCTCCTCATGTTAGATAATATCCCAACAACACAAAAATACAAGAGAAATCCAAAAATACTCCACTTGTGAATTGGCAGGAACATCAAAAGAAGAGAAAATAGACAATGCTTCTTACAACCACTCCAGAGTTGCCATAATTTCCAGCAATATAATTCAAGCATTATTTTGGATCATATAGTAAAACTAACCTCCAATTAGAATTGATAGTCAACTAGGTTAGAACAGAACTTACATGAATTGGAAATATAACAATAATATTGAATATACATGGAACATGCAAAACTTTAGAGCATAAAAAGTTTTGGAAAATGAAAAGTAAGAGTGCCAAAGTATTCTCTAGGCGTAATTATCAAAAAGGAATATATCCTTTCTTTTTCAAAATTTATTGAGATGACAGTCAGATTTACTATTTCATTTCATTTCATTTCATTTATCCTAGATCCAAATAACTAAAACAATAAATGAAATTAGTTTTGCATCCACTTATTCTCTTGAATCACCTCAAAATAAAATGCAATCTTTTCTCACATAAAATCATCTGCTTATCATGCAAGGCTTAAAGGTAATCGAATACATACGAGAAGGATAGACTGAGTTCAGCTCAAAATTGAGGATCGATTCAGAATGATAGGTAAATCTGGATAAAATTAAAGGAAAAAAAAGATAGAGAAACGCACGAGAAGCCTTGGTTGTAGATGTCGATGGAGACGGAGACGCGTTCGGAGCCTGATTTGAGTCTGGTCAAGGATTCCTTCTTGTGAGCGATGATGAACGGGGCGTCGCCTGTGGCGGTAGCTACTGATACAAAGAACAGAACAATCAATGCCTTCACCAACGGATTTCCGATCAGCGTTGCCATGAGCGTGCCGTTGCGGATTTCTCTTTTCTTCTTCGGATTGAGGTTGCTGAAGACTTTAATAATAATTAGTGTAGGTTTCATGATCTTGAGCTGACCAGTGACATTGAAGTGATGTACGCTACGCCGTCGTTGCTCTTTTTTAAGAATAAATTACGTATTTAGTATCTAAACTATTAGTTTGATCTGTTTCAATACCAAAACTTTTACATTTTTAAAAATCATACCTAAAATCTAATTTTTGTTTCGTTTTAGTACCTTGCTATTATAAACTTAACGGCTAATTTGCACTTTGGCACCTTTTTTATAGGTGAATTACATTGTTCATCACTTAACTATCTTCTCACTCTTATTTTAATCACAAAAGTTTAATTTTTTTAATTTAATTACTTGACTTTCAAATTACACATAATTTAATCACTCTAACTTTCAATTTTATTTTTAATTATATATTAATAAAATAATAAAAAAAAATGTCATGTCACAAAAATTATTAATAAAATAAATTAGAGTGATTAAACTAGGAGCAATTTGAAAGTTGAGTAGTTAACTTTAGTACCAAAATAGGAGTGAGAAGATAGTTGAGTGATAAATTATCTAATTTACCCATAAAAAAGGCAATCACGTTGAGTTTTTAACGTTGAGGTACTAAGATGAAGAAAAACTAAACGTTAGATATAATTTTGAAAAAATAAAAAATTTAAATATTAAAACAAACTAAAACTGAGAATTTATATACTAAACATGTAATTTACAAAAAAATAAAATACGTATTTAATAACTGGTTTTGACTTGGTAATGGTAAATGGTCTTGAATGGATATTTGTTGAATTTTTTATTATTTAATTCATTGAATATTTTTAATAGTAAATAAAAATATTATTTTTAGAGGGCCTAAAAGAATAGGGACTAAAAGAAGAATTAGATAGCCCGTTAAATTTCAGGCCAGCTAAGCAGAAAAAGGGATGATATTCTTAGATCGAGAAGGCAAAAAAGGTTGATTAAAAAAAAATAGAAGGCAAAAAGTTAAGATATTTTACTCCAGTGGACTCACATGTCACCCTATCCCTTCCATCCTGGCATGCTTATCATGTTCTTCCTTCCTATATAGTATCAAAAATATCTACTCCAAGTACCTGTACTTTTGTTTATAAAAATCACTTTTGCGCTTTTGGAATCTTTCTTCAGAACTATACTCGTGCTTAGGGGCTGCAGCTCTACGTCTCACGTTTTCCTTATTTCTCAATTCGAAGATCTCAACTTTGATGATGAATAAGAACTCAAAATCAAAACCAAGAAGATCCATGCTGTTGTTATGTCACTTCTGCAACTCAAAGCCTGCAGTTCTGTATTGCAGCGCCGACTCCGCAAGTCTCTGTTTGTTCTGTGACCAACAAGTACACTCCGCCAATTCCCTCTCTCTCAAGCACGTTCGTTCCCAGATCTGCGACGGCTGCAAAGCCAAACCGGCTTCTTTTCTTTGCTCCGATGATAATCTTATGCTATGCCATGACTGTGATCGGAATTCACATAACGCCGGAGACTGTCCTGGTTCATCTACGCACCAGCGTTCTCCGGTTGAAGGTTTCTCAGGTCGTCCTTCCGTGGTTCAACTAGCTTCACTCTTCGGTTTTGATTTGAAACCCAAAGATTTGATGGATTTGATTCCTGGGTTTTCTTTGTACGAGCGAGAACTGACGAATATTGAAGATTTCATGTTACCTGAAGAGAATTCTTGCGTTTCATATGCTTTGCTTAGCTCCGTTAAGCTGGACCATGAGGTGTATAGGCAACTCGTCGAAATGGGGAAGCGGGATTTGGTGAGAGTAAACGGCGATGGAGATGAACAGGGGAATACTACAAGTGATGAGCACGAGAATTTAGCCAGTTTTGAAGTTGAAAACGGGGATGATGAAGAATCTCAACAGCAACAGCAGACCCCCTTTACCTCTCTGCTAATGTTGAGAGAAAATGATTATATTGATGAAGCATTGCTTATGTGGGGCTCCAACTCTTCCAATCTGCCATTCCAGGTATGCATCAAATCTATTTTTAATCAAATTATTTTCTTCTTTGATGCATAATGTAGTTATGAACATTTATTTGCAGCTTCACAGAAATTATTTGTGCGTGGTTATTAAAATCATCCTTTTCCTTTTAAGTGCTTTTGAGTTGTTGAACATATTTGTGATAGCTAGGTTTCAAATTGCTGAGATAATTACTAAATTTGGGTCAAAATTAGGGGCGTTTATCGGGTGAGTTGATCATGAGTTGAGCTTTGTTCGACTCGATTTAAAATCTGTTCGAATTCATGCTCAACTCAATACTCTCGATAAGTTTAATAAGATTTTGCTAGACTCATAGGCGTTAAAAAAAAAAAAAAACTCATTGCTCGTTACACTTTCTAGAATTTTTGCATTGTTTTTTAAATATATGTAAAATATAGTAATTAAACATAAATTAACAAATTTAACAAAAATATATCAAAATAGTGAGTTAAGCAATCTCAAAGTATAAACTCTAAAGTGACAATCCATAAATACGTCAAACTAATATATTACAAGTTTATAACCAAAGTAACAATCATAAAAAGTTTAAAAATACATGATCAATCATAAAAAAACAACATTATTATAAACTTCCAAAAAAAAATAACTTGTTGTTCACAAACTTATTGAGTTGAGTCGGGCCTTGCTCGACTTAACTTGTTAAGGCATCGAGTCGATCTCAAATTGAAGTCGAATAAACTCGAATCGAGCATTGATCGATTCGAATTCGATCTACTAATGAGATGTTGAACTCAATTAGCACCCCTAGTCAAAATAACAACTCTTTAGCGTAAACCAACGACTCATGCTTTATATATTAACAAGTGTCTTTCAGATATGGGATTTTCAATCAGGGAGGTCAAAAGATAGTGAAGAATCCGGTACAGAAGATGCTGGTTTTGTTCAAGGCGGTTCCTCGTGTAGAAATGTATGTTGTTTAAGCACAGACATACATTGCCATAGCACGGATATTTGAGATCCTTATAACATGTTATATACTTGCCTTTATGTTTGGTATTGCTTCAACTTTGAAAGCTGGTGTATAGATATAAATGGCTTATTGTGAACTGCAGAACGGCTGCAATGAACCATTGTCGACCTATATACCGAAAACTGAAGAGAGTAACAACAAACCTGTAATGGGATCATTATCCGATACCAATCCGGTCAAACTCCTAACATGTGATACCACTAGACATGTCCGAGACGGTAGCGAGTCTGTGAATTACGAGGTGAAAGCTAAGGTAGACATGGCTCAAAATCGAGACAATGCAATGCTACGCTACAAGGAGAAGAAGAAACATAGAAGGTATGATAATAATTAAGATGAGAAGATGTTTTACTCTGGTTGGTATTTCAATTGATGTGGTGAAAACATAACATTGACAGATTTAACAAGCAAATACGGTATGAGTCGAGGAAGGCCAGGGCTGATACTAGGACGAGAGTCAAAGGCCGGTTTGTGAAGGCAAGTGAAGTACCCGATGTCACACTGTAAACGGCTGCCTTTATCGTTTTGGATAATATGTCCCCTATCTGTCTGTATATACGTCTTCCCTTCCTCAACTTTTGGAATTTCGATTGCTGTAGGTTTTTGAATGTTATGGAAATTACAGAGTTTATGCTTTCATTGAATGCTCCTATATCAAATGGTGGTATTTAGTTGTGCTTTGGTTGAGTTTATGCTTGTAAGCTATCTTTATTCTCTCTTTAACCACAGCTATGATGAATTGAAGAATTTGGTCTCTTTTGGTGATTACAAATTGTGTTGGTGACTAATTGGCTTCATACTCATACATAACTTTGTTGGTAGATATAACTTCACCTGCGTGCAATTATCAGATATATTTAAAAAAAATGAATTTACTGATAAATTAGACTGACCATTTACAATTTTCTATCAAACTCGATCATTCTTTACTTGGTAATACAAGAAAATTGGGTACAAGCTCCAAATAAACCAATGAAAAATTCAAAAAGAATATATACATATTATTTTTTTTTTACAAGTCTACTCTAATGTTGAAGAGTATTTTAAATGCCGTTTTTTAGTCTTATATTAGGTTGTCTTCCCTTAAACTTTCCCTTAAAAGATGACCTTATGCTCACCCTATCCAATAAATAATTACAAACAAATAATGTATATTGTACCTGACCTTAATGTTATTTCCATTTTCTTCCCCCCCCCCCCTTCAAAAAAGATGGTATTGAATGAGAATAAAGGAAAGCAATGCAAGGCTCCCCTGTCCTAATGTTGTTATACATGGAAGCAGCTGTTAGGGACACGTACTAAGGGGATATATGGTTGGTGGATAAAATACAGCCTCAAAATCTGTTGAATTTGAGCTTTTCGTTTTAATCCAAAAAATATAGCCTCATGTTTCATCAAGAACTAGGGAATTGTGTTTTCTTTTCTCCTGGATGGCAATACTATGCAAGTTCTGGACAGGGATGAGAAGGGGCGAACCCATGAAATTATTAGTGATTAAAGGGTGTATATACAGTTTATGAGGGTTTGTTCCATTTCGAGATGAGATGACTGAAATGAAAAATGCGATAACTATATATGTGAACAAAGTCAGCAAAACAGAGTTTGCTTTTGTTTGGGATGTAAATTAGATGATTCAGTTGCGGATATCAAGGTATCTTGGATGATCTGGATAATGGTACTCCACGTTCAACTGCCATTTACACAATCACCTATGTTAGAATACACAGGATGCCGTTTAATCTGAAGATACCTGTGTGCGTAGAGAGTTAAATACAAATGCAAAAACATGGCTAAATGCTTAAATTAGTGTCAAACCTTATGAAATTGGAAAACTGCATTACCTTGCCTTCATCAGCATCTGAGTGACGTTGAGGGAACACGACTCTCAAGTCATTGTATAAATAGAATTGATCCCCGTCCCTGTCAGTTTTGGTCTTTCGTGTAACTGATCCCAGATCAGATTTACATCTCAGAAATGACTTGGGTGAAGGGCATAGAAATCTGAGATGAAGAGCATAACGCAGTGAACCAATGCTATTAGTATTTTCATTAATCATAGCATAACAATGGGAAAGTTTGCCGTCAGTTTTCTGACATGCACCGGTACAGGTGTAATCCTTGCACTGGTCCTTATTGTAGCCAGTCAGTTGTATCGGTTTCGGTAAATTCAAGCCACTTCTTTCTTTTCCGTCTCTATTGTAGCATAAAGGAGAGTTTATGTGCGGGTTAGCGTCACCATGTCTTGGACTTTGGACGATAGCAACTTAATACCAAAAATAAACCAAAACTCAGTCCTTCTATTGCATTTTAGCCAGCCATGTTTAGAATTATGATAATTATTGAAGTGCAAAGATAAAAGAAATATTGTGTATTACTAGTGAAGCATTCAAACCAAAGTCTCATGAGGCTAAACAGAGAAAAAAAAGGATGATGAGGAATATAATCCAAATTACCTTGGTACTAGCTGGCATGTCACTCAGATCGTAGTTTCAAAGAAAGTGTGACGAAGTGTTTTCTCTGGATTGCTAAGAACCTGCATATGAATCCACGAAGAACAAATGGGATTCATTTCTAACATAACTTACAGAACAAATGGGATTCATTTCTTTGGATTACAAACTTTAGAAACTTACAGAAAAATCTCACAAGGTAAGATGTTTGCACAATTTTAAAACAAAGAAAGAACACTCAATAATGAATACAATTGAGCACAAATGGTGCTCTTGAAAGTTAAATGAATATTGAATGGATTTTGGCTTGTATTGCTCAAACAATAAGTTTAAGGCTTTCTCTCTTTGAATTCTTTCTCAAAACTTGTTTTTTTTTTCATCAACCACTTCAAGACTTGTTTAAATACCCCTTGAATGAATTCTGAACGTTGGGGATGATCATGAAGTCAATAGAGCCGTTGTTGTATGTTTTCCACTTCAAAAATCTGTTGGGAGCGTATGGGTATCGGTACTCCTTCATAGGGGTATCAATATTATCTATATAAAATTCAAATATTTCGATCGTTGCAAACTCAGAGGTATCAACACCTCTCAAGGGTGTATCGATACTTCTATGTAAAGAGGTATCAATACCGGTCGTGGTATCGGTACCCATTTTGCATTACGTTATTTCTTGGAGTCAAAATTAAAAGAGGCGGTACCAGTACCTTTAGCTAGGTATCGGTACTACTTTATATAGGGGTATTGATACCCTATACCCTGTAGGGTATCAATACCTCTTTTGTATTCGATGTTTGAGGGGTATCGATACTCGTTAAAGAGGTATCGGTACTTCCCTATTAAAAACTCAATTTTGACTAGATTATGGTTCGAAATACTTTGTAAAAATTATTTCAAAAATATTTTAAGAGTAAAACAGAATTTTTCATTTAAGTAAGGAGTAAAATTTGATATTTGAAAACTTGGAGTAATATTTGTGATATTCGGTTAATTGAATCGAATATAAAATCTTAATATTCATTAACACTTTATTTGTTATATCGAAACATCAAAATGTTTTCAAAAGTTTTCCTTAATCAAACATTGGCACTTCCTATTGTGCCAATACATCATCTTATTAAACTAAATAGTAGAATTGTGGCTAACAACATTACCATCACTATTAGCTTATTTTTGAACCTCATGCTCGATCACGTTCTTCAAACCCTCAAATACACACATCTTTTTCATACACTATATTTCTCACCTTTATAAGTAAGGAGTGGCATCAATAGGACCTTATAATCACCAATTCAGTAGTATTGACATCCTAGTGGCATGTATACACTTTTTAACTCAAAACAAGCTCGAATTAGTCCTAGAATCGGCTAAACATGTAACTTTGATACCAATAAATGTAGCACTCATAACCCGTATACACCAATCAATACGAGTTATAGATGTCACATCAGAAATTCAAAACATTTCCTTAGAATTTAATTGAGTAAAATTTTGGTTTCATTCAAACCTCACTAGTTTCATAACTTGAAAATTATTATAAAATAATTATTCAGAGAAAACTAGTAATATAACATTTTTGGTTACCAATTCAAGACCAGTTTCAAGCAATGATAAACATTTTTGTTTTGTTTTATAAAATAAATAAGAATATCTAACACGTTTGACGTAAAACCCAAATTAATTTTTTAGCAAAGTTTAATATCATAATATTTATTCATACTATTAATTATATTTAATACTAATTGTATTAAGAAATTACAAACATTTCATTCTAGTGTACTTGCCAACTAGAATTTTTAGAACGCAATATGATGTCATCATTGTTATCTGTAAATATTTTTTTGATGATTGATGCCAAGCTCAGCTCCTTACTCCTTTTCCTTCTTTTTCCTACGCGTGAATATCATCACAAGTTAAGTATACACTTAGTAACACAATCATGTAAATATTCAAAGCAATGCAACATATAAATATAAATGAGTAATAATAGTCAATGCAATGTGATCACTTTACCTACATCCCAACCATGTTACCATAAATTAACATGATATAACCGAATATAAAGTTTCTTACCAATATACTTGTCATTTATCCCATAAGATCGTAAGCTAATTTTCCTATTTATCATTTATCAACCAATAAACCATAGCCCAATTTAAACCCTGAGGACCCTGGGTATTCGAGTCAAATAAATCCCCCGTAGTGCTACACCTGCACTAAGCTTACACTATAGTGCTAATCCGGATATGACACATAAGGTTGTGCCCACCACCTGCACATAGTGTCCTTACACACTAGTTCTAATATAAACCTGAAGCTGTTATACTCTATGGCATACTAACTTTACATGTCCTTCAACGATTTACTTGGGCATATAGTATAATTTATTTCATCCATGGCGTCGTATATCCATATAACTAACATTGGGGCAATTCATACCCGAAATAAAATTCATAGCAAAATATCATATTTATCAGTGATCAATTCTTTGTAGCTTTACACTTTGACATATCAAGGTTGTGTCAATTTTATGATAAATAACATAATATCATGCTGATACAAACAAGGTAGACTCATCGCAAGTATTCCTAATGATGTATAACACATCTATGTACTATATCATGCATGCATTGCACTCACCTTGAAACTTTGTATACAAATTAAAATATAAGTCTCACTAAGTTTTAACTTGATCCTTTTCTTCTAATTCGGTTAAACCCCAAAATTGGTGATAATTTCATAATCTGGCAATTTGCACTACCTTTAAAGAAATATTATTATGTATTAATATAAACCTTTAAAGGTTATTCCATTTATACCAATGGAACCTAGACTCAAATACGAATCAATCCATAAGGCACTCATTCTAGTTCAATTTTTACAATTTATGGTAAATTTTCAAAGTTGACCGACATAATGTATTTTGAGCATAATGTGCTGCCCTATTTGCTGACCTATCATCGGTTAAAAATCCATATATTTTTGTATACACTTCGAAATTAGTTTCCATTTGTTCTAAATAGAACTAGACTGGTATAGTAATCATAATATATAAAAATAATCCTCTAATCATTTTATTATAATTTATAGTGATTTTCTAAACTTACTATCTAGAACATAAATTGTAAGCAGATTTCACCAATTTGCATTTTTCAACTTGTTCACTAATTCTATTAGCTCACCAAATACACATATATCCATGCATCACAAATCACATAACATTTTAGGAGTCACTCCTTATCATAGTAACTCTGTCACTGGCTTGTCACAAGCCAATGTTTGTTCGATAACATAAGTACAAATTAAATTTGCCCTCACCTGGTGCCCTTAGCTTGCAACATTCCTTAGAATTTCTTTCAAGCACTCAATCTCTAAATTAACATCATTAACAAACATATAAAAATTCAAACCAAATGTTAGAATCTTACTATCATAGGCATACTTCGGAAAATAAATTCCTAACAAATTTTTCGATTCTTATTCGATACAATTTTCATGTCACAACATAAATATTGACTTTAATACTTCTAATTGACCATTCAAGTTCCTTTTATCCCAACTTCACTTAAGCTCCCAACCTTTCCATATTTTTTTTAAAACCTCAACTTTTACAAGCTTTAAAAAAATAATCGAATTTCACATTCTAACTTCAATTTCAACACTCAAACATTAATTTCTATTATTGTACATAAAATATTGAACAATTACACAACAATCCATAACTTTTCCAAAATTACCACTTTGGTCCCTCAACTTTTTAAAAATTATAAAATGGTCCAAAAAATTTTCTAAGGTTTGTAGAATACTTCCTACATTTTTTCCACCCCTACATAATTTTCAATAATTTTTCTCATCCTCTATAGTCAAGGTCGAATGCTTTGTATGTTCGAGATTAGGGTTCTCATGATTTTACTCAATTTTGATTCGATTCAAACATGAAATCAACTTCGATTCAACCTTATAAAACCTCTACAATTAAACTCTAACTTAATTTCATCAAAATACATCTTTCTCCCAAGATTAGGGTTAGGCAGAAACTTCATATGTTCATATGATCATGTACACGTGATTTTAATCATCAATCATGCTTGGAAATTATTGTACAACCACAATAACATCAAAATATTTCATCAATTCCATAAAACCCTAATTTGAACATAAACCCTAGAATATGGGATCTTTGAACACAAACTATATTAACAAACAATAATGGTACCAAATGATAGCGTTTTTCGAATTGAAATTTTTTCTTTTCACGACATACTCCAAAATCCAAAGGAAATTGCTCAAAAATGAAAAAAAAATTCTCTTACCTTGTTCATGGGGAGAACGAAATGTTGGCTAAAAATGGCTAAGTTTTCATGAAATGTCTAATGAATTTCATGTTAATTTAACCTTTATTTAAGCTTAAATGAATAAAATATTCATTTAATGAGAAATGTCCATTTTGCCATTAATGAAACTCGATATTTACAATAATACCAAGCCACATAAGCCTTATCATCATTCTAAGTAAAACATGGACAAAATATTTTGCCCTTTACAACTTTGCCCATGCCATTTTCAAAAAATTGATATCTTGCCATTTAAATCCAACTGTCCAAATTGAACATGGAAATAAATTCTCAAATCTAATGTTCCATATTATTATTGTAATACCCCAAATATAAGATTAGTGACCTTATTGAAAAGATTTAAAATTTGAAGACTTATTTGTATAAATGATAAAAAGATAGGAAATGATTGGAGTTGTGTTTAAGACCAATTTATATAAATAAATGAATATACAGGATATTTTGGTCCAATAAGGAGAAATGAATTTAAAATTCATTCATTCTTAGGCATTTTCAAAAGAAAAAAGGGAAAGTTAAACCAATAGAGTTATCTCTTTTCTTCTTCCCCGTACAAGGACCATACTCCATAGCCAAAGGTAAGATTTAATTTAACTAGCTCTTCCTCTTGTTTTTGGGTTGTTATTGGAACATTGAGTATTGGTATCCACCATATTCACCAAAAAAGCTTAACAACCTGGTAACAGTAGTTTTTTAGCAAACACTGTTAATATCACATTGGGCAATGAATTTGCTTTTTTGCCAACCACTATAATTGCATAACCCTCTGGATCTTTCAGAAATAATAACTTCATGTGACAATCTACCCAACCATAATGCGGAGATAACCAATTCATGCCCAAAATGATCCCGAACTCATCAAATAACAATTCTATCATATTTGTAGGGAATTTAACCCCTTGAATCTTTATCGGGCAATTTCTGCATATCCACTTCATTTTGCACAATGACCAAGTGGATTTGTAGCTATCATATTACTATACTATAATACCTTTTTCTCTAACTAATTTTGAATTTATATAGGAGTGCATATAACTAGGATCAATCATAACAAATACAGGTTCATCATAAAGATAGAAAGTACCTGTTATAATCTCTAAATCATCACGGTCCTCCCAGTCTTGATGTTATATACTCTATATTTAGCACGTGCATCGGGCTGAGAAACTGACTCAGAAAATCCTCTTCCTCTGTCTCTGCCTCTACCTCTCTAAGATATCGCTACTGATCTTTTAGTATGAATAGATTTCTCTCTAGCCAACATGGGACAATCTCTGATAAAATGGCTAGTATCTATACATCTAAAAAAGCCCCCAAAATTGCTCGGTATATACCTGGGTGATTCTTGCCCCAGCTCTGACAAGGTGGGTACTGACTTGATCTACCTAATCCTACAGCTGATGATTGATATTGTCGCCCTTTTCTAGAATTATCTCCCTTACAATGAAGCATTAGGTTCAGATCTATTTTGATAACGGGAATTTGATCATCTACCTCGCTTTGACTGAGACGAGGTAGAAGATGCTTCGGTCTCTTCAATGTTTGATTTCTCTATTCAACTATTCTATCAGGCTGGGATAGTGATCTCTCAATTACCTTGGCTCTGTTAATCACCTCTTGTAATGTAGACATATTAATATCCAACAAATACTCTCTCAGCCCTGATCGCAGACCTTGAATAAATAGATTACAATTAACTTTTTCATCTGGGGTCATCTCTGAAGCAAAGAGGATCAATTTGTTGAATTCACATTCATACTCATACATTGTACGGTTTCCCCACTTTAAGCTAAGAAATTCTTGTTTCATGTCCACGATGAACTGGTCTCCAATATATTTATTCTTAAATTCATCTAAAAGAATTGTCAAGTCACTTGTTCTGTAGGCATATTCATTGTAACATTTGTCCACCAGAGTCATGTCTTTCCTCTGAGCAGTGACACAGCTCCATCTAAATTTTATGCATCAGTGCAGTGGAAACCATCGAGCATAATCTTTACATCATTAAGTCACAGGTCTACTGTTACTGGATCCTCATCGGCTTCACCTTTGAATTCAGGAGCTCCCAAACTCTTTAACTCTTTAGCAGTAGAGAATCAGGGAGCTGGAGGGGCGAGTGGCTGAAGTTGTACTAATATAGCATCCAATGTCTGAAAATTTAGAAATACTCTTGATTTTGCATGACCCCTGTTGTGTTGGTGCTCCTTGATGTTCAGGTTACGTGAGAGGTACATTATTCACCTCATTACTCCTGCTAACAACTCATGTCAGAACCTCCTAATCGGTTACCTGACGTAAACCTCAAGGTTTTGATATCTAAAACAAACATATTTCACAAATACTTTAGTAAGGGGAAACATAGATAATTAAAACACATAACTATACCATATCAATAACTTCGACATCCTAGTGGCATGCACAACTTTTTAACATAAAATACCTTCGGTTTAGGCCGATAATAGACTAAACCTATAGCTCAGATATCAATAAACGTAACACCCTCAACACGTAAACATATCTATTTATGAATTAAAGATGTCACATTAACTTATAATTACTTACTAAACAAAATCGAGTCAACATTTGAACTTTTTGAAATTTATTCATAAATATTCATTTTTCGTAAAATTTATTTATCGCATAACATAAAGTTTAATATGTTAATCATAAAATATGATCCGATTTCAAACAGTAATTAGAGAACTCACTACTGAATCACATTTAAAATAAAACTGTAACATCCCAATTTAGGGGCTAAATTTTTGGAATTATAAAATATTGCATTTAATTAGTATTTGGAAGAAATTGAGGATTAAATTATAAAATTTCAAAGTTTACAGATCATTTTAGGAAGTGCAGGAAATTCAGTGACTAAACTCATAGTTTAAGTATTTTCCTTTTTGAGAGAATTATAAGTTCTCTTCCCCCGAATGTTTCTCAGAACAATTTTTCCATTTCCTCTCCCCCGGTCAACGATTTTATGCTACAATTTCTCCATCGCTCGACCACCGTTTGACGAACCAAAACCACCATCGTGTTTGTTACCGACCGGTGAACAAAACCCCTCAAAACTCTCGTTGTAAATCGACGTCGTTTGTCATAAATATCAATAGGAAGTATCGTCGGTTCTAACTCAATATCCGTTGGTTTTTCATTGATTCACGTCGATCCAGCAACCCATTTTCGACACCTCCAGCATCATCATGTTCCTTGTATCGTTCTGAGTTCACCGGTGTCCTCTGTGTCTCTGTCGTCGCCGGCAAGTGAAGCGGTGAAAACTCAAAGTTTACGACATTTTGAAATTGAGCTCTCCACCATTCAAAATTGTGAACCGGGCTTTCTAGTGTCTCAAAATGCCATAAAACATTTTTAGAAAATTTTCGGGAATTTTTCGGACACTGTAGCACTGTTCACGCGCCACCCCGTGAGAGTGGGCTTCGTCTGGCATCTTGGTGAACAGTTGAGCCGAGCCGCTGATCCGAGCCAAGCTGACTGACTCAACCTGTGCTGAGTTAACTCTGCTAACTCAAGTCACTAGATCAACTCATTGACTTTGACCGAGTCAACCTGTAAACCGTTGACTTTGATCGGGTCAACCCTTTGACCGTTGACTTTGACCAAAAATAAAAATTTTGAAAAGTCATATTTTATGTTTTTCGATGTCCTGAGTTCGATTCTGCAGTCCGTTTCATCAAATTAAAACTCGACAAGAGGTTTTTGACTGATTAATCACTAGATTCAATCAGTTTTTTGCAATTAAGCTTCGTTTTTAATGAAATTTCTGTTGATATGTATCCAAGGAATTATTGGAAGTTGATATCAAGATTGAGGACGTTCGAATGGAGTTTAAATGGTCGATCAGTATGGCACGAAAATTGAGGTAATACATTACTACCTCTTTATGTTTTATAGAACATGTTAATGGAAAAATACATGGATGTATATGGTTGAACTTTTATGCCTGTTTGATTATGGATGAATTTGAACCGAATATAGTAAAAGCGATAAATTATGAGAATACTTCAATTAGGTAAAATTACAAAAATACCCTTGTATTGTAAAAAGATAAGAATTGACATTGGAAGTTGGATAAAAGGTTTGTTAATGAATAATTTACAGTTTAGAGATTATCCAGAAAAATGATTAACCCTAGGGTCTCCAAATTATGTTATCCTTGTTAAGAGTTTAACACCAAAATTATCTGGTTATGAAATTATGAAAATGCCCTTGAGAGGTAAAAATAGTCCAAGTTGACTCTGAATGAGAAAGTAACCTGAGAATGTGTATTTAAACCGATAAATTACTTATTTAAATGTTGAGATCCTACTTTTGTATGGAAAATTCCTGATAATTTGTTAGTAAAATCTGAGAAGACTTTTAACATGGAAATCTCCGAGTTATGAGTAAATACCTGAAGAATAATTTATCGAGGGTGTTCTTCTATCAGAATTGTTCGAAGGGAATGAAGTAGATGATAAGTCTGAATTAAATAATAAGATCGGATGAAAGGAAATGATTTAAATACATTGGATCTGTAAAATAACCAAAATACCCCAGTAATGGAAATGACTCGAGAATATCACCAAGCCCATGAATAAATGGATATCCTCAAGCTTTGAAATTAATGGGAAAACATTGAGCATTAAAATGACCAAAATACCCTTATGGACTAGACTAAGTAAATATTTTAGATTACTTAAGGAATTCAAATAAACATAGGTGTTATACTACCCTTAAAAGTAATAGAACATAATTTAAATGAGTAGGTCAACCCTAATGTTATGTCAATTCCTGAATGGCATAGATATCACTTGAATGTGTGATCATTTTCTCAAGTTTGGATCGATGATAATTCTGGAAGTACTGGCTCAGCTCAACTCTAGAGCGCATTCGATACTAAGAAGTGGATATTCATGAAACAAATTAACCACGAATACAAGAATGACTTTATCATATGACTAAATTGAACTAAAAGGAAGTACAATATGTATATGAAATTCAGAAGCGTCTGAATTACTTTGGAAAACTCTGAAGTAACCGAGATAGACTTGATTACTAAATGAATTAAGTAAACTTAATGACAGAGAATTTAGTAAGTGATTGAATGAGTCTGGGAAGACCAATGAACTTAGATGATGTACGGTCCCTATGGGTTATGAACCAAGAATCAAATACGTCATCAATTCTTGATATTGTTGTAATGTGGAAAGAAAGTAAAGATTATGGTGATACATGTTCGATTCCTTAAGGTATATTTAGCGATGATTCTGAAGATGGTCAATGGACAAGAATAGTTATTATTAAAGAGTGAATATCCTGGAAGGGCATTGAATGGACTTATCGACATGCATTAGTCTGGGAGTTGTGTAACTCGGGTTGTTTGATAATCCGATCGATCGACATAAATTGTAAATGTCTTGAACCTTCATTTCTACATTTTCATCTCAAATCACTTTGGTCATGTCTTAACACGCAAGTAACACTGAAGGGAAAGATTATAAATACCCCATTTGGTTCAATTGGGCTGAAATCCTATGAATTCAAAGTGTAATCCTGAATACCCTTGATTGTTTGGGTAATGGAATCACTCTTAGTAAATCTAAATCTAGAATTATTCTATATAAAGGTTCCTAAACATTTTTCTGATGCACATGAATCATAGTGGAATTCTAAAGTATCAACTTTAAATGCCTGATTAGATCGGTTAGTAATTGATTCTCTTCAATAGGACTTCGTTCTTGGAATCCAATAAATTGCATAAGTTTCTTGTTATCCATACTGATGACTACAAAATACCTCTGAAAAATACTTGGATCCTCTAGTGTGTTCCATATGTACTACATGATCGCTTTATATGTTTTGAAATGAGTTTTAACGCAAGTATTGATTTACTGGTTTATAAACCATGGCAACATGGTAAGTGTTTTACAATTATGGTTTTCATCGAAAAATATAAATTTTTCCTGATTTAAGGAATCATGAAAATTATTGGTTTATGAACTATGGTTTTATGTTTCACTAGTTATACTCGAGCTGCTTTACTCGAATATTATATGGGTAGACTGGAGGTACAGCTCTGATCAAACTAGAAATTTGTTTACGGACCTAAGGCGATCCTTGGGTAGGCTTGCAGGCCCCAAGGTACTCCCTTGGGTTAATCATTTGAATACTTATGGTGTACAGGTGGAAATTGGTTATACGATTTATTTCATTATCACTATTATGACATATTATTGGTTCACGATCCAGGTATTATGATTTACAACTAAACTGATTTCTATTGGATTTTTATATGGTTAGGATTTTGAAGTAGAAAGGCACTGCTCTGATCCAGCTGGTAAGACCTTACGGACCGAATGATACCCTTGGGTAGGCCCATAGGCCCCAAGGCATATCCTTAGGTTGGTTTCCTTTGCTGTGTGCATAGGATAACCCTACGGATCTAAGGATACCCTTGGGTAGGCTCATAGGCCCCAAGGCATATCCTTAGGTTGGTTTCCTTTGCTGTGTGCATAGGATAACCCTACGGATCTAAGGATACCCTAAGGTAGGCCCAAAGCATATCCTTAGGTTGGTTTCCTTTGATGTGTGCATAGGATAACCCTATGGATCTAAGGATACCCTTGGGTAGGCCCCAAGGCATATCCTTAGGTTGGTTTCCTTTGCTGTATGCATAGGACAACCCTACGGATCTAAGGATGCCCTTGGGTAGGCCTATAGGCCCCAAGGCATATCCTTAGGTTGGTTCCCTTTGTTGTGTACTTAGGATAACCCTACGAATCTAAGGATACCCTTGGGTAGGCCCATAGGCCCCAAGGAATATCCTTAGGTTGACTCCCCTTTTGCTATGTACTGAGGGCAAGCCTTACGGATGCAATTATGGGGAACTGCATGATGGAGTTTGGTTGGAGGGTTCCACA